CTGGGAAGCTTTATTTTGAGAGTCAAGTTTGCATATAAGAGCTAAAAGGCAAGTTGAAAAAATGTGACAGATAAAGCTTGCCAAACCTCTCTTAAATTTCTTTTGCATTGTCCATTATTGCATAATTATAACCATACTGCTACAGCCTACAGTGAGAGAAACATCTGGACTGTCATTACTTTTAATGTACTTCACTAATTTATTCATTCAGTATCTAAAATATATACTTATAGACTCTCATAGTTCTACTTGGTCCGTGTATTTTTGTTTTCCCATCCACTGTATACAGCTAAGGCATTGTTTTTCACTTATAATCTTCCATTTTACCTTTGATTATTTTTTCTTTATTTTTTGGTTAATTATAAGTAATTTTCAATATATCATTTAATACTATTTCCTCCTAAGGACTCCTTAGTTCCTTAATATCAGCTATTAGAGCTCTAAAGGAAATCATGTCCACTGTCCTGCTTCACCTGCTCCACTACACGCAATAAGAAAGGAGGATTTTATATTTTTTCATTTATATTTTTCAATACAGTCATTGTAATTCAGCCTGAATCAGCATCTGCCATAATAAAAGAAAAACTAAAAATACATTCTGAGAAAAATAAAAAGTTTTCATTAAAGTAATATTACTAATTAAAAACCCAAAGAAGTTACTAGGGCAGCTTTTCACACATCAGAACATTTCCAAAGTTCCCAAAAGAAAGGAGATAATAGATCAATAAACTGAGCCAAAACAGATTTCGCTATCAATGTCATCAGAAGTCAGCACAGAGTGCAAATTTGCAAAAAACATTTTAGATTGTTTTACAATACAGATTGAAGTCTTCCAAATCAATAAAGAAAAAAAAAAAAAGGAGCAAATAGTTTAGCTATGAAAATCTATAGAATACATTTAAAGCATGTCAGGCACTATATTTAGCTATTTACGTATGAATTTAAATTTTCAAACTGTTACCTGTTAATCAAGTATTTGTCTCATCAAATATGTCTTTATGTCACATTACTGAGGAAGAAAGCAAATACGATGCTATTCCAATTATATTAGGGTGAGTTCAACTTTGCTATCTCCATTAGAGTGCAGCAGAACTGCATGAGAGCTAACACATTTAAATCTTTCATTAGAAATAAAATTCAGTGTAGGAAAAGAAACAGAATTAAATTTAATCCTATTTTTACAGATCACTTAAAAAATGAGGCACCAATTACAGTTAAAGAGAAAAGGAAAGACTATGTGGGACAAGTCTAAAGCTGTTAGAAGGGGATGCTATTTATTCTTCCAAAGGCTATTCACTTGTGTGGGTACCACACAATAATGCAGTAATGCCAGAGGGGCACATTGTAGCACCCAGCTTAATTCACTGCCCCCAGAGATGTCCACACCAAGGTTAAAATGCCATCCAGACCCCTAATTCTGAAAAACCCCGGAAACACCTTTCCATGCCTCTCTGATTAAGTTTTTGCCCTACTTTGACTCTTTCCCATGCACAAAACAGCAAGATCCCTCAACCTGAGAATAAGATGAGGAGCCCTATTGGGCCAGTTTGCTTTTTGAGCTAAATGCATGGTCCATTGTGAACCAATGCAGCAATAAGCAAGTTCATTGGATGGTTCAAGTCAGGTTCATCCCTGGCTTCTACCCTTTTTGCAGTGAGGAGATGCTGGCACATATTTTCTTCATGTGTGTCATGCTGCAGTCCCTCTGGCAAAAACTTCTCACTTCTTTATTTTTAGCCTCCTTATCAAAGACCACACCAAGTCTTGAGAGTTTCTCATCAATACCCACTAACCCTTGCCAAAACTGCAGTCCATGGACTCTGGAGAAACAAGTTCATCAAGGCCCCATTTTTCAATTCTTATCCCACCACATCTTTAGGAAGTGGCCATCATGCACCAGGTCTGGGCACTTTCAGGATGTGCTGAGTGCTGTTGGGAGTGTTCTGCCCTACACTCCCCTTAGTTCCCCTCTTTTTTTAGTACATTTTTTTCTTTCAGCCCTCTTCCTTTTTCTCATTTTTCATCCAGTCTAGTTTTTTTCTGTTGCCCACCCTCTCCTTTTTCTTTGGTTTTATAAAAAAAAGAAATATTAAGATTTGTAGAGGTGCTCTGGTCTCTCCACAATAGAGAAAACTAGTGGCCATGAGGGCCAGGGTTGCTGTCCCTACATATCCTGTGTGGCATAGAGAAGGGACAGCTGACTCAGCAGTACATCTCCTGTGCTGCCTTCTCCATCCCATAGGAGAGGGAGATTGCATCCTGCTCTGACACCAAAACCCTGTGCCACGCAGTGTATGTTTGTCACACTGAAACATTACTGATGCTGAGAAAGACTTCTGTGACAAAAAAAAAATAAAAATCTGTATGAAATCCAGCGACTTTAGAAAATATATATATACAAGTTTATACTACTACTTTTACTAAAGTAGTAGTACTTTTAATACTACTAAAAGTACTACTTTTTTCTTCCTTCAGTTTGTTAGCAACAGTCATTCAGAGTTTGTAGCTTCCATAGCTACTTCTCTTAAATGTACCACACACAAGGAAATTGTTATGCAGAATTTCCACATAAACAATAAGTATTAATTCAACTGTGGAAACCAAGACAACCTCCTTTATTCTAATTTACACAGGCATGCTCCGAAGAATCCTACATATTCGTAAATCTGTTCTTTAGTGTAATCAATGTCTGGCATTCTATACAGTCTCCTGGTTACAAGAAGCAAAAAGCAGGAAGGACTTTAATTGAAAGTACATTTTAATGTACTTTGGACATTATTTGTGAAAGAAAGGGCGACTAAGAAGACATTGCGTACCAGACCAAATACTGGATTATAATGGAGCCCTCTTGGTGTCATCACTGCTTACATCCTACCCTAGATTCACTTATCTGAAGAAAACATTACCTGCAGCCAGACCTGACCTCTTCAGCACCTCTTGGGTGCAGGATGCAGCCAACACTTCTCATCTGCCAGCATAGCCACCCACAACTGATCTAGTTACAACACACATTAGAATCTGGCTACAGGTGAGTGTCACAGAAACCCCTCCACATCAGTGCCTCCCCTCTAGTTCAGCACAAGTGCTGTACAAAGTGTTTTACAAAGAGTAGATCTGACTCCAACCCAGACACCACTGAAAGTTCAGCCAGCTTCACTCAGCAGTCTCCGGGGCCCTAGGAGACTGGTCTCTGAAGTCAGTGGAAGATGATCTGACAGGAAAATAAAAGTTTTTTGTTCTCAGTGACCTAAAATAAAACTACAAGTTTAAAGAAACACTGCAAATTCCTAGTATAACCATTTATGATATTGGCGTATACTGTGGAGTCCAAAATGCTGGAGAAATGTATTTATTATGAGCTTATTTGGTCTCAGCACACAAACTGTAACTGTTTTTTAGTATGTGCAAATCTAGATGCATTAAGCATAAGCAGAGTCAGTATTATAAATTCTTGACTCTACTGATATAAAAAGAGGAATTATAAAATTATCTGGAAAAATCAAACAGTGAATATTCCAAAGCTATATAAAAAGCAAATGAATGAATCTTTAAACATTAAATTACTAGCATTCCCTCATATTACATTTCTCTAGAGAAATTATCTCCACTAAATTCTTCCCTTTACAAATAAGATGTACACCACAAGATACTAAGGAGTGGAAATAGAGCAGAAAGAGAATTGCAGGGTTTCCTTGGATCTGTAAGGACAGATTTTGAAATACTATTTAACTGAGGTAATCAGAGAGTTACAGGTGTTCATTTTGAAATATGATTTGCAAGCTCTTCTTCAAAACCATAATCCATTTTCACAAGTTACAGTCTTTATAGACAAATATGTTAGGTCCTGATTCAAATAGAACTGAAATTAATGTTCATTGAAGACTACACTCAAGTGAAATCAAACAATGGACTGAATTAGCTAAAAAAAAAAAAGGAAAAAAAAAACAACAGAAAATAAATTATTAAAAATTTTAAACACTAACATTAACATCTTAAACATTACTCTAAGTGTGAAGATATATTTCTCAACTCAACTCTTTATATCATGCACCAATATAACGAAGGGGCTCAGTTCAAAACCCAACAAAAGAAAATGGGTGAATTTCTATGGAGAAGGAATTTTCATTTATGCCCAAAAAAATTACTTATATTTTAAAAAAATAAAGATAATTTCATATAATTTACATTTGCAATTACACTGTAAGGTTTTGTCTTTCAAAGCCTGAAGCATAGTCCTACAGCCACTCAGTTGCTATAAATTCCTTAAGTACCCATTCACAGTAATTGGGAGGAAAAACTGGGGATCCAGCTCTTTGTTTCTTCCTAATTTGACAAGTATTGGAGATAAAACTGTTACTTTCTAGTTTGTTTGGGGATATTTCCTTTTTTTTTTTTTTCCTCTTCTTTCTAAAAGTTCAGAAGACCATAAGAATAGTTTGAAAAAAAGTTTAAGATTGACAATTAAGACAGAGCAATTTGGTGTCACTGAATTCCCAAAAGCTAAGCTAGTTCTGGCAGTCACCTCTGGTAACCTGCTCTCTACTAAGGCACAGACGCACATACACACACATGTGTACACCTTCTCAGCAGAAAGAAATAAACTGATTAAAAATATATCTGTGCCTAATTTGGTTTAAGTCACTCACTGCATGTGGACAACACTGTGACTTGGCAAGGGTCTTATCTGGCATCGAAACCCTTACTCTAATGAATAAAATTCCAATATATGGCCTGTTACAGGACCATCCCAGAGGTGCAGAAGACAGGGCTAAAATCAACACCCTGCAAGCTAGGGCCAGGCACAGACATTTCCAGATACCCTTTAACTTCAGTTAGTGCCCCCTGCCATCAGTCAGTGAGGGAAGAAGAAGCATGGGCACCTCACAGGTTGAAATTAAGGGATTGCAAACCACGGATGCCTTATCTAGAGAGGTGCTTTACCTTTCATCCAGCCTTAGCCCAAGCTGCAGAGAGCTGAAGTGGCAGCCGAACTTTCCTACCTGTCAGCACTGAGGGCGGTAAGGGTGAAGACAGAGACACCAACAGAGGTCAGCTGGATGACAGGGATGAGCTTGCATCCTACTTCTCCAAAGAGCCACTCTTCGGAGAAATACCGGGAGGCATCCACAGGCACACAGGTCACTAGCAGGAGCAGATCACCAGCAGCGAGGCTGGAGATGAAGATGTTTGGCACACTTCTCATGGCGCTGCTGGAAATGAAGATCTTCATGAGGGTGATGTTGCCCAGCAAGCCGACAGTGATGATGAGCAGGTAAAGAGAAGGGATCACACAGCGGATGATGAATACGGCCGTGCCTCTCCCCGGGGACAGCAGGGCTGTGTCGGGCACCAGGCGGACACTCCCATTCTCCCCGAGGGGCATTGAGGCGAGCTCGGGCGGGGGCTCTAGCTCCATCCTACAGCTTCGCGTGGACTAAAAGTCTCCAGTGCAAAGTGCAAGGGGAGCCACAGGAAAGCTTCACCTCTCTGCAAGTAAGTCAATTAACTTTCCCCCCATTCCCTACTGCCTTTCTTCCTACCCTTTCTTTGCCGAGTTTTCTCCCTTAAGAAATGCAGAGGAATGTCCGCCGGTGCGGTGGCCGGGGAAGGAAACAAAACCTCCCGTGCACTGTCCCTCGGCTCTTCGGACAAGCCTCTCCTGGGGGGCAGGAGATCCCGGGCCTGGGGGCCGAGAATGCCGTGGGGACAGCCGCCCCCCGGAGCGCGCTGGCCGCGCCGCTGCGGCGAAAGCGCGGAGCGGCCGCCGCCCCCGCGGAGCCGCCCGCGCTGTCCAGCGGTGCGGGTGCTGCCCGGCCGCGGCACCGGGGCAGCGGCGAGGCGCACAGCGAGCCCACTCCTCACTCCGTAGCACCGCCTTATACCTGATAGCGGAGGGGCCGCCCCGCCCCGCCCCTCCTCCTGCCAGCGTCTGTGCCCTCGCCCCGGCCCCGCGCCGCCGAGGTGGATCTTGCGGGAAGGGAGAGGCGGATCCCGGAGCCGCCGTTGTCCCGCGGGAGCCCCTGAGCGCGATGGGCACGACGTGGTGAGTGGGAGGGGAGAGGGAAGCCTCTGTCCCCGCCGCTGACCACCGCAAAGCAGCCCCCGCCAGGCTCTGCCCGGCAAACCAGAGAGCTGTCCGACACGTCGGACAGAACGCAAGATCGACCCCGGAACATCGTCTTTCAGCATCTTAGGTGAAACCACAGTGCTTTGAAACGCAGGGTGGCAGGGAGAGAGGGGCGTGAGAACGAAGAGATTTTATTCCTGAAATCCAGCTGTGGATTGTGCATAGATTTTACTTAAAGGCATCAGCTGTGTTTAAAGTTTTAAGGTTTGATTTGTGAAGCTGCATTTCACAGTGGTCTTGACTATGGAAAGGGGGACAGGTGATGTGTTCTCTCTATGACTTACTCTACAAATGGTATAGCAGAGTGGAGAATGAATTTTGAATTCTAATCTTGAATTTTGAATTCTACTCTTTGAAGAGTAGAATATGTCTCTAATGTTTCTTGCTATTCAGTGAGGTAATGTCTTTTACTTCCAAGGGTCTGCACATGTATAGGCTTTCCAAACAGCTCCATCTGTCTCCAGCAGAAGCCATGAATGTAGGTAGTCGTGTAAATATGCTGGAAGACAGGCAGACCTGTTGGACTGAAGTTTCCAAGACAAAATGTTAAGGTAAAATAACAGCCTTGACCAGTAACATGCTCTGCAGACTGATTCCTTTATTGCTTTTTCTCAAAAGACAGTATTCACGAGCTTGTGGAGAACTAGCTTGTTCATATTACTACAGCAGTTCTCTTGAAGCTCTATGAGTTTATGACTGGTCTATGGAGAATCTGACCACTGAAATATCAGAAGCAAAGCATGTCACATGTGCATGGCCTGTCTATGGCATGCTGTCTAGTGTAGGAATTAAATCAGTAATTATTTAGTAAACAAACTTTTACTAAGATTATTAAAAAAAAAAAAAAGAATGTTTCTTTAAACTTTACACTTCTCTGTATCTTCATTGATCATTATGACTCTTCTCAAATCCCTTAATATATGTGTTAAAGTTGTGTAAATTACTGATCCATATAATGCTGAGTAATTTGTTTGAACCGAAACAGTGCTAAGCCTCAGAAAGAATCAGGCTAGATAAGCTGATGATAAGCTTTACCACTAAGCAGCTCATCAGAATCATCACAGAGCTCCTCTGGAAGTGATTCTTGTTACTGATCAAGTTCCTTCCACACGGTTTTCAATTCAGCTATGCTCCCTCTGAGGCAGCCTTACTGATGACTTACATATTTATATAAATTGCTGTGACCGTCCATTTTGTTGAGCATATGTGAAATTTTCTAAGCTCACGATCATTTCTGTTAACACTCCAGGTCACTCTTTTTGGTTCCCATTGGCTGGATCCAATGTAAGTCTTTAACTCTGCAAGTTTAACACTCTGTGTATAGTCCTTTTGTTAATTTGTTTGAAAACAGGTTTATATATAGGCAGACAATATGATTTCCATTGGGAGAATAGTTTAAATTCAACTTGTCGTTAATATTGATTTCTTGGGACAGGGGGAAGTTGAGTCTTTTTGCACTTTAAAAACTTCTATTGATATAAACTTATTGCAGTTTGCGTGGAGAGAGGTGAGACCCATTGATTTTTGTTTCACAACACTACCACTCCTACTGCTGCCTTTCAGGAAAATTTCTTCTATCCTAGTGAATTTTATTTGTCCTTTAGTCCACAGGGTGGAATTCCTAAGGTTGAAGAATTAGAAATATTTTCAGTGGAAATTTACATTCCTGATTTTTATCAGTACTTGATTTTATCTACTCCATATTTTTTAGAACTCTAACAGCAAGGAAATAAGCTTTGAAGAAAGTGAGTGACTCCAGCTCAGGGAAACCAGAAAGTTAGATAATGCTTAGACTGCAGTATGACTATAAATCAACCAGTTATTATATTCAACCAGTATGAGTATAATTTCCTGCAGAGGTAAAAAGCTGTGTGTGGGGAAGATCCACAGAGCCTGACATAAACCAGTCGAATTCAGATCTCCACATACAAACTGTTCATCATTCTCTTTTCAAACAAGAGTTTACCCATGCCTAGATGTTATTTCAGATTACAGCCTAGAGATAATTTCATTGCGCAGCTCTGACAGTACTTGGCACAAGAGTGAGGGAGAGAGTGCCATAGGTGAATCTTCCCAGTGGGAAAGAAACTGCACAGGCATAATCAGCCACCACAGATGGAGTGCATGTGGGAGTGCAACACCATAGGGGAGAAACCACAACCACTTGGAACCGTGAGAGGAAACACTTCTTCATCAGTAATTCCCAAATGTAGGTATTCATAATCAGCTCATGTAGGAATGAGGAACTCCACATATCTCAAAAACGCCCTCTACCGAGAAGTGGGTCAGACAGGAAAAAACACTCTTTTCACACATTTATGCAGCTCAAGGCACTTGATAATTCCAGAGCTAATTCCAGATTTGCACATCACAACACGTGTAATCCCAGGAAGAACCAAGCATATCTGCCACCAAAACTACCTGCAATAGGTAGCCTTTAAGTAAGTATGTGTACTTGCACATTAAATGAAAACTGGGTTCAAATGGAGCCCTGGAAGTGATCATGTTTGAAGGCCTGATCATCAGTCAAATTTTTAAAAGAAACAAAGCAACAAGGAACAAATACTAGCTGAATTTAAAAACTGAGCATTAGGAACCAAACCTTCAATAAATTTTGTAATCTCACACACCAGTAGGTACAGCTGGAAAGTGGGCGTGCATTGTAGAGGAGAGTGACTTCTTCCAGGCAGTCAAATGTACAATAACCTAAAGTAACTCATGTGCTTTTTCTTGCTATTTCAATAGAAGCTTTCCTATTTGGATGGAGGGAACTCTGCAAACCAAAATGGAAATTCAGGTGCTTCTAGCACTAGACAAAGCTAGAAAGCTGGCAGAACTGGCTTTCTTCAATATTCATGCAAATTTTGGGAAAAAAACCTTTATCCTATTGATACCAATTCAATTTTTGTACCATTTTCATGGTGCTGATTTTATTCATGGCACAAGGGTAACAGGTGCTGTTACATTTAACCACATTAATAAAGGAATGAATTGGGTGCTTAATGTTTAACACGCAGGTCATCCCTCTATGCACAACTGTAGCTTTATGCATGCATTTAGTTTCCATTTGTTTTACTGTATTCATTCAGTAGGACTTCAACTCATTAAAAGATTAAAGAGCACACAGCTGAGCTGCAAACTGGAGTCAAAATCCAGGCTTCAGACTCACTTAGAAACAAATGTGATATCAACATCTTCCATCCCATTTGTCCATGATAGAAAACTAACAGACAGCTGCTCCGACAGATTCAAAACAAATAATCACTTTCTGTCAAGGAAGTCTCAAGAAATGGCTTGAGTCCTCTCGGCAGACTGCACTCAAAAGCACTGCACAATGCCAGCTTACTCTATTTCCATCTCAAGTTATTCTCCTAATATGGTGTTAAGAAGCACATTATTGAACACACATGATAAAAGAAAAACGTTGCTATTAGTTCCTCCTAGTGCGAAGATAATGGGATTCTTGTGCTTGAGCTCACATGACACTGAAGCCACTTCAAAGAAAGTGACAATTTTATTGTGGACCCATTCATCACACTCAGTGGGGTTTTACTGCTGATACCCATGCAGTTTGTATTTGGTTTATCTGACAACCTCTCCAGAATTATTTTTTATTTAAATGCAGCCGTATTCCTTACGTGTTCATAGAAAAAAAATCAGAGCATTGCCAGTTAAGTTTCCTTTAGCACCTTTATCACAGGACAGAGATTCAAGTTTCTATACTGTTACTAAGGCTGATTGTTGATTAGCTTGTATTAGACAGTCCAGACAGGTAAAGAATCATGTTATTCTCACCTTAAAATAAAAAGATACAAAGTAGCATTTGTATAGTGCAGATTTTTAACTAAAATCTGTTCTGAAATGTTGTTTCTATCCATAGCAGAATCAAATGCTGACCAAACTTCATGGGTTCATGTTCATCAATTTATGTGAAAATAATCACTACTATACCAAGCATAACAAAAAGCTTTGAAAGACTGATCTCCATTTAGAAAATAGGAGTTGTTGATATTTTCTATTGTGTTTTTAAACTTTTCTATTTAGAGATCCTAATAAATACAAACACAACTACTTTTTGAGGTACATTCAACAGCAGATTTTCAATAGGCAATTCACATTTAAAATAATTAAATTATTGAAATATTACTGGTATTAAACACGCGGAACTAATTTAGTCATTTCATAGTACTGTCGGAACACTAGAACTGCATTTGGATGATAAAAGTTCCATATGTATTGAAAAACAATTCACTGTAACCAAAATAACTGCATTTTGGTGAAAGTTAGTCACCACACTGAGAACCACAGTACTTTATTGCAGATCACACACCACTGAGAGACATTATTGCTTTTAGTTCATTTGACATCCACAAACCTCAGCATTCTCTCTATGCAGCAGATCAGCAGATTGCATTAAAAACATTTGGAAACCCAGTCTGAGTGCTACCAATACAGCATCTTTTACAGTGCTCCAGGAGACAGACATTTAATTAACTGTCTGAACTAGGAGATCTACATAACTTATTAATTATTATATTGTATTATATTATATTATATTATATATTATATTATATTATATTATATTATATTATATTATATTATATTATATTATATTATATTATATTATATTATATTATATTATATTATATTATATTATATTATATTATATATTATATTATATTTTATTATATTATATTATATTATATTATATTATATTATATTATATTATATTAATCAATAACTAATTAACTGTAAATGCACTTATTGGAGCACTTTTCACCTTCTTTGTAATTTATCTGCTTCAGTGGTTGTGGGGCAGGTTCCCTTTACAAAGGATGTTCTGATTTCTTAAAACAGTTATTTCAACCATGTCATTAATACAGTCATTGAGGCACCTTTTAGAGATACAACAGCTAAATCTATACATAAAATGAACACCGATTCCCATCACTTCCCTTCTTCTGCCTATGCTTCCATGCCTATGAGCACACATGACAGAGGGAACTGTAGGCTGCCCCGGACCAGGTCCTGCAGGGTGACCCACTGCTGGCTAGTCAACAGGTACCCAGACAGAGTAATGAAACTCCACCAAAGATGAGAGGACTCTCGAGCTGTTAAGATCCACGTGGGTTTATTGAAGGAGAGGCTGAGGACGGGGGACTAGGAACAGGAACAGAGAGACAACATCACATGAAGGGGAAGGCTCCAAGAGCAACTGGGGAAGGAGGGGCCAGGATATTTAACTAGGGAAAGATCAGTGTGGTTAAGGTATAAACTGCCCAATGACAGAAAGGTTCAGGGGAGGAGCAGAGATGGGGTGACATCAACAGGACCAATGAGGGAGAAGGGAAGGAGTGGTTTTCTGAGGGAACCAATGGGGGAACCGAAAACAGAGAATTTTTGGGAACTGAGGAGACTACAATAAATTATGGACATACACTCATTTGCATGAGGGAGCAGTGAGCTCTGGGAAAATGTCCTGCTTTAAACAATTGTAGTTTCCCAGGGCATTCCTGAACTGCTTTCCCCAGGGGCACCTCCCACATCTCCCCCTTTTCTGTTTATTAAATAAACGTCCCCCAAAGTCTTTACAAGGGTCCTTTTAAAAAATGTCAGGGCGATGGACACTATGAAAATTATAAGTAAGATCCACAACAATCCTTTAAGGATTGAGGCCACCCACCCAGATTCACCCCACTGTGTGAACATCTTATTCATGAAGTCTACAGCCTGACTTTCTGTCTTGATGTTTTCCACTTGCGTCCGGATGTGCTCTTCAATGAGAGGTTAAAACAACATAGTCCCTCAAAGTCTTCACAACTGTGGCCATGGGCTAGTAATAAAAACATCGATGGTGGCTCATTTTTGCAGTGTGGCATGTCTGGTGGTTTCCTCGTCCACCAAGAGATCTGATAAGGTGGCGGATGTGGCGTTGGCCTGCTTACTAAGCCAACACCCTAGGTGAGAAAGCTCACTGAGGGCCTTGACTGTTGCATACCATGGCAGAAATATAGATGCAGCCACCGTCTTAGACGTGCCCAAATTATATATTTGGGAATCACAATTGGGCTCAAATTGACTGTAGGATCTCTTTTTGTGTGCCAATTGTGTCTCCCTCTTCCAGTCAAGAATTTGGGTCTTGTTGGGTGTCAAGAGTAGTAAGCTGGCCAAGGCTACAGGGACGCCCTTCGATCTTAGAGGGGATCCCAGCCCATACCCTGTCACCACAGATAAGAAACACCCCCCTGGGGAGCTCCCAGGGAAACAAAGAGGACTCAGACAATATATCACTGGTGTAATTGCACCAATCGATCATATATGTTTTGTTGTAGGGTGAGACAATTTTGTTCCTAAAGCCTTGTAGCTGTTGCCAATCTTTGAGTGAGGACTTTTATGTAAATATGTCACCCTTGAGGAACCCAGTAAGTCCAAGTTCCTGGGGCTCCTGTGGTGCCATGTGACAAAATCCTTGTCCACTTGTCCCAGCAGTCTACAGGGTTGAGTTTCTTACCTACATAAGGGTGGTCCCCTTGTGACAGGGGGACTCCCACAAGACATGTATAAAGTAGGTCCTCCACACTGCCCATGGCCATGCAGAAGTTACCCTGTTTGAGGGCCTTTGCAAGTGTGATCCAGATGTTTTCTTTGGGCTCTGGAACAAGCCATCCTTCCATTGCTTAACACCACAGAAAGATGATGAGCACAGTGGCAGCAATCCAAGCGCTCTGGGGTGCCTTAAGATGGTATCGCCTGGGCTGGTGTCAGCAGCGTGGCCATTGCTCTTCCAGATGCACTCTAATATACAGACGTTCAAGGGGAGGGACCTGTCCACATGGTGGGCTTGGCAGGACTTCAGGGCATCAGCAACTCTCTCTAGGGCTCCACTGGTGTCCGGTGTTAATTCACGCGGGGAAGTCAGGTCACCATCTCCTCTCAGAAGATTAAAACGTGGTGCCAGTTCCTCCGTGGTTAATCCCAGGAGAGGTCTGCTCCACGTGATGGTTCCGCAGATCTGCTGAATGTCCCAAAGTGTAGCAAAAAACCTTCCAGATCCTGGAAAAGCACAGGAGAAATTCAATCAAGTTTTGGGTGATGATGAGAAACTTCGGTCCCAGCTTGAACTGTTAATTAGCCCTACATGTTCTTGTAAACAGGCAAATTTCTGCATGAGGGAGATAGCCCGGAAACTTGCAAATCCTAAGCAGCCAACAAATCCTTTTCTGAAAATGGTCATATTTCTTTTGGAAAGAATTGCCGCTGTACATATTGACTCAGAAGCCATTTGTGCACTAGCAAAACTAATGAATAAATCCACAGAGGGGACAGCTGATGATGAAGAGAAGGGTGTAAATTCTGATATTGCTATTCATGCAGGACTTGAACTTCTCAAGGTTCTGTCCTATACACATCCTACCTCGTTCCACTCTGCAGAGACCTATGAATCTCTACTGCAGCGCCTTAGGATGGAAGATGATACAGTAGCTGAGGTGGCCATACAGATTTTCAGAAAGATGGATCACAAAATAGAATCACACATAAGATCAACACTAATTCCGATTTTGCATCAGAAAGCAAAAAGAGGCAAAACAAGCTGTTCACTGTATACATGGCATATTTTCAAATAAAGAAGTACAGCTTGCACAGATCTTTCAGCCTCTTAGTACAAGTTTGAATGCTGATGTACCAGAACAGCTTCTAACTCCCTTGTTCTCTTTGGGTCTTATTTCTATGTTGGCTCCAGACCAGTTTGCTTCTCCAATGAAATCTGTTGCTGCAAATTTCATTGTGAAAGATCTCCTAATGAATGACAGGTCAACAAGCGAGAAAAATGGAAAATTGTGGTGTCTAAATGAAAAAGTCTCTCCAGAAGTACTAGCAAAGGAATACATGGCAATCTTTGCTTTGTATGCCAAAGACCCTGTGAAGGAGCAGCTAAGAACGGGAAACTAGGAACACGGAAACAACCTCACATGAAAGAGAAGGCTACAAGAGAAACTGGGGAAGGAGGGACCAAGGTATTCAACTGGGGAAAGATAGACGTGGTTAAGGTATTAACTGCCCAATAACGGAAAGGTTCAGGGGAGGAGCAGGGATAGGGCGACATGAACAGGACCAATGAGGGAGAAGGGAAGGAATGGCTTTCTGAGGGAACCAATGGGGGCACTGAAAACAGAGAACTTTCTGGAACTGAGGAAACTACAACAAATTATGGACATACACTCATTTACATGAGGGAGCAGTGAGCTGTGGGAAAATGCCCTGCCTTAAACAATTGCAGTCTCCCAGGGCATTCCTGAACTGCTTTCCCCAGGGACACCTCTCACAGGAAACAATGGTTTTTGATACATCAGCTTGAAGTCGTGCTGCAGCCAGTTACAAGGGAGGCTCTCTTTTGGAGGCTCTCTTTTGAGTTTAGAGGCAAAAGAATAACTACCCCTCTCTGGGTTTGGTGACCTGATTTCACTTTCCTGTGCATGCCAAATAGACTACTGCATATCACTGAGTGAATGACAAATGAGCATTTCCCTTTTACTGGCTTCCTATCTCCATCCTTCCACTCTCCATCTCCTCCCAGAACTCCCACTGGGTTCAAACCACTGAGTTGAAGTACTTCCTTGCGGCAGTTTACCAGCAGGAGTGTCTGTCTCGTGCATGGACTTGCATGCACAGCTCTTCTGCAGCTGCTTCAACTCTGCATACTGAGTACGCTGGCAAATTATTAGTAGCAATTATTGCCATTAAGCTATTTATAGCAATTGTGAAGTGGGTAATATTATTTCTTTTCATTCAATTTCTGTTTCTTTGAATTCAGAATCGTGGATCTACAGTTCCAAGTCCTGCTGCATCTTTATGGGACTTTAAGTTATAAAGCTGATAAGCTCTAGACGCTCCAGCTAGCCGGGTCCCGTCTCTTCCCCCCGGCGGCAGCCCCGAGCGCGCTGCGCCAGGACCTCAACCGGGACGGGGATGGGGGCCGGGGCGGGGAGCGGCTCCGGCCGGGCGCGGATGATGGTCGGTACAGCGGGTACCCGGGGCGGCGAAGGCCGGCGTGGGCCAGCGGGGCAGGGGCAGGTGCGCAGCGGGCGGCGGTGCCGGCAGGCGCTGCTGACGGTGCTGCCCGGGGATTATCGGCGGGCGCCGGCCGGCCCCGCTTTTGCTGCGCCCGCTGCCGGCCCGAGCGCGGGGGCCCGCCCGGGGACAAAGGGCGGAGCGAGCCGTGGCCGGGGTCGGGGTCGGGGTCGGGGCCAGGGCGGGCTCCGGCTCCGGCCACCGCCGCCCACACAGGGCATCTTCCCCAGCCATGTCCCCCAACTACATCCGGAGCTTCTCGGAGGGATGTGTGAGTACGCGGGGCGCGACCCCCTGGCTCGGTTGGGTCCGGCCCCAAACCCCGCTCGGGCCGGCGGGGCCCCCCGGTCGGGGCGGGGAGACAGTTGCCTCTTTGGGGAAGCTGAACTTTAATTTGCGGGAATAAGTACGGCTCTAAGCATGGTTAGGTTTGATGGTGGCACGGCGGTCCGTGCTTTGCCATCGCCTGACGCTATGTGAATGAATCACTGCAACAGCAAAACGAATAGAGTTTGGGTCGAAGCGCTCAGCTCTGTCTGGCGCCTTCTGCAGCAGTGGAATACAGATAAAGGCACTGAAACAAATGAACTGGCAAGTGCTAGAGAAATTAACGTTTACGTAAAGTTAGTAGGAACAATAAAGTGTTGTAAGAATATTATTTTGTTAGAGAGCTACTGCACCCTTCATAGGCACACTGTCTTCTTTAAAGCAAGTAGAATAAAATAAATATTCTGGATAATGAAAAACAGCAAGTAGACCTCCAACAATAACACTGTTCATTTTTGGTTTTTTATGTCGAATGAACCCTCTGATTTGCAGCTCAGGCCGCCAACAGTAATTGGACAATTCCACACTCTTTTTTTTGGCTCAATTCGAATGTTTTTCCTTGGTGTTTTGGGCTTTGCTGTTTATGGAAATGAGGCCTTGCATTTCAGCTGTGACCCAGACAAGAGAGAGGTTAATCTTTTCTGCTACAACCAGTTCAGACCTATAACTCCTCAGGTAATTATCTTTTTCTGATATTTTTTTCATGGCAAAAATCCAATGTGAAGCAAGTAAACTGCAAAAACTAAAGCATAATTGTTCCATATAAGTACTAACTGACTAGGCTAATGATCACTAGCTTTTTTTCATTAATATTTTCTTTTTAATGTCCCTTTAACTGTGACCAAATATGGAGCTGTGTTTCCTGTCCTTCCAAAATGATACTCATGTTTCAGAACCCAACTAAACTTTCCAAATCAAAACATCACTGCTTTTTACCTTTATTGTCATCTAAGCTTTTATACATTTGATATATATTAAAAACAGACTTGCAAAATGTTATGATATGCATGTGTATTAGCTGTTCCAAAGCAATTGTAAATGAGCTGACAGGTACATTTCTGCTACATTTTAGGTATTCTGGGCATTACAGCTGGTGATTGTACTGGTACCTGGAGCCATTTTTCACCTTTATGCTGCTTGTAAGAGCATCAAACAAGAAGATATTCTCCAAAAGTCATCCTACACTGGTTTTTATATTTTCTCTGTTTTCTTAAGGATTGTCCTTGAAGTTGTGGCCTTTTGGCTTCAGATTCAGCTCTTTGGTTTCAAAGTGAATGCAATCTACATGTGTGATGTGGGAGCACTGGATAAAAAGTTTAACATTACCCGATGTATGGTGCCAGAACACTTTGAAAAGACAATCTTTCTTATTGCAATGTACACATTTACTGTGATTACAGTGATCTTGTGTGTTGCTGAAATTTTTGAGATCTCATGTAGAAGGCTAGGTTTCTTAAAAACTCAGTGATGTCAACTCACACTCATTTACTGCTCTGTCCACCTGCAGTTTTGTAACAATGATTTCAAACCACAGCAGAAAAACATCTCCTGTCCTCTATGCAGTGCTGCAGAAGAGAACCACACTCCTGATTACTGAGACAGAATAGTCACTTGACATAGACTCCTCATCTAAAACCTTGCACACATGAAAATAATCTTTGTTTCCATGTCAAGGTCAAAGGCACTAAGATCTCCAAGAGCAGTATATTTTCATGACCTGCCACCTATGATAGTTCTGCCTCCAGAGGAGTGTCTGTGTGTGAGGAAGATGGTTATTTATAAATATTTGCAGCTTTTCTGAACACATGCCATCTGAGTTAATAAGGCCATTGCCCTTCTAGGAACAATTATTGCGATTTTTTTACATGTTCTTATGGCTTGAGACTTGAACAATAATAGTGGATACTCTCTGGGTACCAGCAAGCATTCAAGCATCTTCCCAAGAAGTGCCACTGAGATGCAGCCTGCAACTCAGCCCCCAGGGGCAGACTCTTGGTCAGGCTGTGGTAACAACATATCCATCCAGCTTACTTTGCAGAGGCTCAGCTGCCGTAACCTGCTGGCTCAGAATCTCCTTTTAAAAGTGAGATAGTAGTATGGTATTCATTGCGCTGACTGCAATGCCTCATTATGTTTTGGCTTACCATGGAGAAGATTTTTACCAATTTAGTATTGATCACATTTTGAAGGAGGAAAAGGGCATTTTAACAATTTTGCATAAGCGTCTTCAAAGTGTCAAAAATCTTGGAGAAAGCATTTCCTAGGCCCAATCATGATTTGATTTCAATGCATTTTGCTTGTGTGTGACTGCAGAATTGGGCCCACAGAATTTTCTGCTGTTTGTATCACATCTAACTTTTTCTTGCTCTGACTGAAATAACAGTTGGAATAACAATAGTAAGATGCTGGAATAACAGTTTAAAAAGAATTCTGCATATTAAAATTATTCTATGCAGTAAGTGTATTGGGTTAGGGTAGGTCTTAAACTATAGGCATCAGATTTTTTTTTTTGTGCAACAGCTTCTTCTTAAGGTCTAATAAATACATTAGATTAGGAAGTGATTTCCTTGTGCTGAAGTGAAATAAGGGAAAGAAAATAGATTTCAGAATCAGAAAGGAGGAGGTAGTTTCCTGTATAAAATATGTACAAATAGCTATAATACCAATCAACCATTTTCCATCTGTTTTTCAAACATAAAAAGCTGAGATCCTGATAACAAAATCTGGGTAATTTCAGAAATATTTAGAAAATTCTGGAAAAATTCTTACCAACTGTTTTACCATTATAGTTAATAAGTCCCAAACACAGTTGAATTATCATAGCCTTGTAATTCTCACCCACAAAAGTAAACCTGCTAAATAAATGGAATAGCAAGTTTTAGGTGTCTTGGATTTGATTGAATCTGTGCCATTTAAAACAAAGTGTGCTTCAACTAGATGTGTTGTTTTTTTAAATATGCTGATCAAGAACAAGACCATGTATTTAAATACATTTGCTATAGTAAAGCATTGATATTATTTTTTCCCTATGGAAATAAGTTATATGTTATCTTAAATGTCCAGTCAAAGATATCAGATTTATGTAATATTAAACTAATTATTTGATATTTGCAAGCATTGCAAGTGAAATAAAAATCACTGTGCTAACTTCTTGTTTGCATAATATGCCATGTTCTTTGGTTGATACATGTTTAAGTTTTCACTGTACATGTCAATATACATCTGGAATTATTCTTTCCAATTGAAACTTGTAATCTCAGGTAAAAAAATTATTTATAAAAACATACAGTATATAGAACTACTAAGAAAAATAATTTACTTTCATGTGCTAGGTACAGTTGTTACCAATGGTACACTTAGAATCCCACTTCATCAGTTATTTGTATAATAATAAATAACTTAATCACAACCTTGTCAGCATTTCCCTGGTGCTTAATATGTCATTGCTTGTTGTTCTTCTGTAAATTTCCAAACACTTCAGAAGGGTCAGAAGAGTGCCAAAACCCACAAGCCCTCGGGAGTTCTTTAAGTCCTTGTTACCATCAAGAGCCTTGAAGAACAAGTACTGGCATGGGACTGTCTGAGGATCCCTGGAGTGCTTTAGGAGCTGGGTTACTCACCACCATGGCCTTTCTCTTTGTGGTCAAATTCTGGAATATATTAAAAATTATCTTTCTTCCAAATCAGATACACTGATTTTTTTCCCCCCTGCATTTCCTGTGGAATTAAAATTGTTAAATTCCTCAGTCTTTAATTTAAAAAAAAAAAGTGCATTATTGCCTTTTAGTGCAAATGTTTTTCTATGCCTGATTCTGCCATTAGTTTCTGGAACACGTTGATGGAGATACTATGTCCATGTAAAGAAATCATTTCCCCATGGATGTCAACACTTCTATTTCCTATATTTGCCATTTGTTTTCCTGGCGCTCATTCTTAAGTATTCTCAAGTGTCTATAAACTTTCCTTTTGCTTAGTCTTCCAAACTCCCACCACTTTCATCATTTACATTGTTTTCTATCAGCTTCCTTCCACTCTTACTCCCTCTGAGATTGATATGCCTTCATGCATTTCTCAGTATTGAGCTGATTTTTGCTCAAAGGCTTAACAAGTATTTGAGACGATCATAAGGCCTTTTTTTTTTTGTTGTTTTTGCCATTAAAAAGAAATTTATAATACAGTTGGGGATACTTTGATTCAATTCTATTTCTTTACGCAGTGAACATGAAGTCCTGTCTCCCAGAACACTGAGGAAGTATTTTTGTTGCTTACATCAGGTTCACACTGTAAGTGCTTCTTTGACTTTTTCATTGTTTTCCACCATACTCTAGGCACCTAATTTTCACAGATAGCACGTCAAAGCAATCCCCAGCTCATGTGTTTGCAGTCAGTTTTGTATCTAGTCAGACATCATGACCATTTTCTTTCTCACTTAACAAAGAGCTGTAATTGTGACATGATTGCATTTACATCAAAGGTATAGCTGCTCTGGGCCAGCTATACCTTCCTACCAGCTTCTAGTATAGCACCACAGCATCCCAGTCCTGTAACCACTCCTTGTTCTATTCCTTTCATGGATTCCTCTCTTCTGATCAAACATCATTTCCCTTCTGTTCCCTTTCTGGCACACTCCCATGTGAAACAATGCAGCCACCTCTGCTACACTGTGCCTCCCTCCAACATGCACCCTTCCTTATGCCCTGGAGCACTGACATTCTTTTCCTTTGCAAACAGACGCTTTGAGATCAAGAAGAGGTTTGGCAAAAGGGCTACCTAAAAGAAATGTAAAAATAGTTTTAACTATGCCATCACAATGAGGTAATAAAACACTAAAATAATTTACATTGCAAATTGTGAGATCCATTTGAAACCATTTTGCTTCAACAGTTCACATTTCTTGTGCTGTACTTATCCCCTCTCTGCAAAACCAGAAATCCCTGGTGGTTCCTCTGAGAAAAAGTAATCTGGGAAGTGGTGATCCTATGAGATGCATGTTCCAGGGCTGACAGACTTTCTGATAGCCGCCAGGAAGCAGCCCAGTCCTATTAGCCAGGCCATGGTAGTATTGCAAAATGCGGAATAATTTACATTTTCTTAAGAAAGGATTTTCTTTGATGTTTAATCTTTGAATACTTTCAAGCTTAATCAAGGGAGATTTAATCTGTGAAAACAGACAGCAGCTAACAAGCAAGCTTTAACCGACGTCCAAGTGTTAGAAAAACAAATCACTTGGTAGTAGAATTGCCTTGTTTACCAGATTTACATTGTTTGCCAGGTTTAGAGCTTGACATCCTTCATCCATCTCAGACCCTGGGGGAGGTTAACAAAGCTTGGGTAGAAGGATGCCCACCGGTAATTGACACAAGGAATGCAGAATTTACAGGCCACAGGGCCGTTTGGCAGAACTCACAAAATAAGGAACAAACTAATACGGCCGCTCAGCTACTGTGCTGCAATCAGCGCTGACTGGGTAAAAGGTAATTCCGGAAGGGGGAAATCCTGACCACCAACTCGTGGACCAGTGACCCAAGAAACCCAGTGACTCAAATGAGAAAGCCTAACATGCTCACTAATTAGCAGAAGAAGCAAAAGAATAATTAACTAACACAATACAGAAAACTAATAAGAGAACTATTGTTCTCTTATTAAAAAACAAAGCAGCCTTTGTTTGCTAAAATGTATAAATAGTAAAGTGCTGATAGTTGGGGTGCTTGATTTATGGAATACCCCCAAACACGCAGGCTCACACCACTGTGAAATGAACAATCAGTATCTCTCTCGAGTGTGTATTTATTGGCTCGCTGCACACCAGGTAACTAATCCGATTTTTGCAGACAAGAGTTTTTGGAGATGAAGGGCAGAGGCCCAGAAGTAAAGGTACAACTCAGCCACCAAGGGCCTCATGGGCCCTAGCAAGCCTTGGCGCAGCCCAGTAGGAAGAAGTTTCAATCTGAGAAGGGATTTTACTTGCAGGTGTGCCTGCACAGGCCAGGTCTGCACAGCTCTCTGGGTTGTCCTGCCAGAGGAAGGGAGGCAGAAGGGACGGGGAGGGCATCACTGCTGAGCCCTGGCAGCCGGAGCCAGGCTGCCCTTCCACCGCTGAGCCAGGGAGCGGCCCCGACCGCCCCCAAGTCTCCAGCCCTTCCTCACGGCTGCTGTAGGGCGCGTTTCAAGCACTAAGGGGCCGCGAAGGTGGTGTTTGAGGCTGTAGGTCCCCGCGGACAGACGGACGAATGGACAGACGGACGAATGGACAGACGGACGGGCAGCCCCGTCCGCCCCCTCCTGGCCGGCAGGGGGCGCTCCCCGCGCCCCGCCGCCCGCCCGCCCACGGCGCCCGCGCCGGAAGCGGAAGCAGCGCGCACCAGCCCCGGGAGCGAGACCCGCGCTCCGCCGCCCGCTGCCGCCCGTGCCATGGCGGCCCCGGCGCTGCCCCCGCTGCCGCCGCAGCTCAAGAGCATCCAGCACCATCTGCGGACCGCGCAGGAGCTGGACAAGCGCGAGCCCGTGGTGGCGTACTACTGTGAGTGAGGAGGCGGCCGCGGCGCCGTCCCGCCGGGCCCGGCCCAGCCCGGCCGCCGCTGCACCGGGCGGAGCGCTCCTCCCCTGCCCGCCCGGAATGCCCGTGGGTGCGCGGGGCGGGGGAAGGCCCCACCTCTGGGCGGTGCGCGGTGGTCGCGGCGTGCTTGGGCTGCCGCCGCGGCCCCGCCCGCCTTTCCGCCCCTCCGTGCCTGCGGCGTTCTGCCTCTGGCGGCCAGCTCCGGTTCCGGCTGCCCGGCCGCCTGCTGGTACGGCACCGCGTACAGTGGTCCTGATGGGACAGTCCTAACCAGTACGGCAGGAAAGAACACTCAGCAAGTTCCTCAGAGTTTTTGTTCTCCTGAAAATACCTCCCTTCTGTCATGTGTAACCCTGAATAAGTATTTTGAGTGAGACTCTTTAGTGCTGATAGAAGCTTTCATTTTCTTGCCGGTGAGGCTTTGTCACTTTCTCGGAGTTCTCAGAGGGAGTGGTTTGCTTTTTTTGTGCTCTTTCGCTGAAATGAACACAGCAAAACTTTACTGCAAAACTTGCAAATTCATATGTAAATTTTTCAAGCTGATGTGGTTTCTAAGCTAATGGTTGTCAGCATGGACTGTGAGCCTTTTTAAAAGACTTTGTGTAGTGAATTAAGCTTGCTGTTACTCTGAAATTCCTGTTACAGTTAAGCCTCACTTGTAAAGGGGTCTAAGACTAGCAGATCACCAGAAACATGTTTATGTTTTTGCTAACCCACCCTTAAGGGGAAGGAAGATTGGTCATCACAGCGTTGGTATTTTTATTGAGATACGAGGTCATTTGAGGGGTTTACTTGGTTTGTCTTCAAGAGGAATTAAATAAAAAATAGCTGTAGAACTAGAAGTTTTTCCTCGTAAGGTGATCTTATTGTACAGGAATGAATTAGTGAAATTCAGGTTTCAGATAGCTCTGAAAAAACTGCTGTCTGAGTGACAAGAATAATTTTACATTTTCTGTGTTACACAGGAATAGTGTGCTAATGTGGAAAAGTGCAACCAGGAAGGTGAGGTAGCCACATATTAGAACACGGGGTGTTCTCAGTTGTACTCGCTCTACTGGGAAAACACAGGACAGGTGACACTGTGTGTGGCAGGAAGCACCAGCTAGGTCAAGTTGCACTGGAATTTATTTCATTTTTCATTATTTCTTTGGATTTTTCTGTTAGCTGTAGTGCATTGTCTGGCTATACAAAAGAAAGACATGCATTAGTGTAGGTGATAAAATATAAGTCTCTTCTAAACCAGAAATGTTTCAGTGTGCGATCTCTTTACATTCTGAAACTTAGTGTAGAGGGAAAAAAAAGCCTGTGTTGGATAATTACAATTTTCTGTAAATTTGCCTTGTTTGTCCTAAGTAGTCTGATTTTTTTTTTTTTTTTTCATACGGCTACTTGAACACATCTGGTTCAATACTGAATATAGTAAAGACTATATTCTAGAGGTATCTGTTTAATTACAGTATTACATAAAGTAAAAGGCATTGACACCGCTTTTTCTACTTAGGTCTTGCTCCGATCCTTTGATTTTTTAAATACACAAAGGAGAAGAATTTGTTTTCACCAGTATTCCACTGATGACACTTATTTCCTCCCATGTTGGATGAGTTTGTCTGGATTGACAGAAATGCAGTACTCGTGTTCTGTAGTTGTTTTTTTCTTCATTTAGTTCTGGCTTTGAAGCAAAAGTAAGGTTTATGAAACATTAATTTTTAACATCATGGATTTGGCAGAATTACATGGAATCCCAAAGTATTAATTATTAATATTGCTACTGTCAAAAAAAATATACTGTATATACTCCTAGCATGCTATGAATAATGAAAGCTTTACTAAAAAGATAGATTTTTAGAAGTGTAGAGCAGGGTATACAGAAAGATTTCAGGATTCCTTTCAGATAATGTTTTGAAAGCCATGCAGATTTATGTAGGGTTAAAGCAGCGCTTCCCATTAGATGCTTCACTGAAAAATGTGAGCATCTCTTTGTGGAGCCTTTGAAATGGGTTTCAGAGGAGCTCTGTACATTTTATATAATGTATTGTGTGGAAGGAGCAGAGTGAGGAAAAAACTCTGTGTGTGCTAGAAAACTTACTGTGTTCTCTGCGCTGGTGTTTCCCCACCAGGCTCATCTGCAGGCACTTGCCTGGCACCCTGCATGTCCCAGGACCAGGGGGCTGGTGAGGCACAGCAGAGTGCACCCTGTGTTGAAGACTTAGTGCTCCATCACGAAGCTGCTTACGCAGCCACTCTGTGAGGGAATCTTTGGTTAGCTAGTGGATGTAACCATCAGTCTAAGCAGTGATGTGTTTATAGCTTTGGAATGTTGCCGTAAGTGGTTCATACTCAGGAAAAAGGTTCAGTCACAATATTTTTAATGTTGCCATGGCACACAGTAATTTGCAGTATGGGCATATGTATGCTAGGTTTTGATTTATCTTAATTTTTGTTAAATTTCATTTTTATATGTCTAATAATAAAACCTGTGACACAAATTAAGCAAGTGATCTCTGGCAAGATGTGTTTGCAGCATAAAATATTGCTTTCTATAGCTTAGCAATAAAATTTTCAGAGAAACTACTTAATGTTCTTGTTAATGTTTTTGTCTCTTATCATAGGTGCTGTAGGTATACTCTTAAAGCTAGGAATTTATGTGACAGTTACATTATTTATTTGCCTTTTTTTTCCTCTTGTGTTGTAGTACATTTTGAACATTAGCTAGCATAAATTAGCTAGCACCTAAAGAAAATACTGTAGTCCTTATCTGGTCTCTCATTCCCAACCCTAGACTGCTTAAGAAGCAAATGTTGATGTAATTGTATGATGAAGGACAATAATAAGTTATTTTTCAGCCAGGCCAACTCACTGCTGCTTAAACAGCTGTGTTCCCACACAGACAAAGAAAAGGAACAAGACACAGTGGCTGGGGGCAAAGGCAGGACTCCAGTTTTTTGTATTGCTGGCTTATGTTGATTTACAGAAACTAATTTAATTAACATTAATCTGTTTTACACAATATAAATAGCTACAGCAGGGATTATTTGTCTTTTTCAAGTGCCACATAATTTTCCACATGACAAGTAAAATGTTGAACATTTGTGTTCTTGTACACTGTAACACAACACTTCTTGTTGTGGTACTTCCACATTGCAAAAATTGAAAAACTGGTTAATTGCTGGTAATCCTGTGTAATCCTTTATTCTTCATTCTTCACTTCCTTATGTTAAAAATTTACTTGAATCTAACTGTTTGACTACTTTGAGATGTTGTTTTGCAGACACAAGGAGGCAGGCTCTGATAAAAAAATCTCTGGCCTGTAATAACTGAAGAAATCGTGTCTCCAGCTTTGGCATAAGAACTTGCACTGATGAGTTATTTATTTTTCATTTTACAAATTGCAAGGTTTGAGAGGTAACTCTATCTTCCAAAAACTTCAAGTTTAGAATTAAAAGCAAGATTTTCGTTAATGACTGTTGTTTCAACCTTCTATTTGCATTGTTAATCTCTTTGCAAAGATAAGCGGTAGTCTGTACTTACTGAACATCGATGTTCTAATTCAAAAGTATTGAGAGAATGCCAATGAGTTGCCAGAAAAGGACTGAGGTTTCATGAACAGTGTTTGGATAGTCAATGAATTCATGTGAGAAGTAATGTTTCTAGTAACTTCCAAAAAGCAAAGTGTGGTGATTTTTGCTTTACAGTCTACTAAACATCAGAAAACAATAATGTAAGATCAGTAGGTATGATCTGTATAAAAGAGGCATGAAAAAAATACTCAATTTTTAATTCTTGAGATGGAAAAGCATCAGAGAAATGCTTCCATACTCTTGTATGTACTCTTCCATACTCTTTAACATTTGTGGTTTTGTGAGATCAAGTGAGAGAAAAGCAAGAGGCAGCTTTTATTCCACAACTAGTTGACAACCTCTTGAACCAAAAATAATTCAGCTTTTAACAGAAATATCCATCTGTTAAATGTGACTGGCTTGTCACTTTCAAGTGTAGTCAGACACCTATGAAACAAGCTTCTCTCTGCATACAAATTATAAGAGTTTTTTAGTATCATTATTATGAAAAAAGAGGACTGTGAAGTTCATGGCCAGACTAAAAATTCGAGAAATATAGTTACTGTGCAATTTTACAACTGAAATACCATTATTTTTTACCAAGTCTTATCCTTTGCCAATCCAATTAGTCCTTCTTGATGGAAATTACTAATAATGGTCAAATATTTTAATTGAGCTTTTAAATTATTCAATTTTTAATGTATCTTGGTGCATTCGGAATGATTAATTTTGAAGATGCATGTAATTAAGAAATATTAATAAAATTAAAAGTAACTGGTATTTGCTGTATTTGGAGAGATTCAGGACATACTTAGTGACCTCATTTATATTGGGACATTGTGGAATTGAACTGCCTAAAAAATGTACTTGTAGAATTCCATAGCTAATATGATCAAATACCTGAGCTTTCTAGTTTAAATATTCATCTTTTGTACTAGTTTTATATAGTCCGTTTGTAAAAGTACATTTTCCATATTCTCATATTGCTGGTGGCAGAAAACTTTTTTGTGGGCTACTAATACAACAGATGTTTTAAAGGTTTTTATTAGAGCTTGCATACAGAAGAATAGATTTAATCTGTTCTTTACTCAGGGTAAGTTAATATGTTTAAGTCGGATATTTAAGTAAACACCAATTTCATAGTATCCTGTGATACTTGTTTTGATTCTGCTATGAGTATAAGCTAAAAAATTTTCTCAATTTATACTTTCCCCTTTGCTTCCTATTTTTTTTCTGCTTTCAGTCAGTCTGTTTGTTCGCTCTGATTATTTCAAAGATTTGTAACTGGGGAAGACTGTGCTCTTAAAACTGCTTTGCCCGTGGAGACATTCCTACCAAAAGCGTGGTAGAAATAACAAAGATAATTGTATAAACCCCACAATCCTTGAAGCAGACTGTAGGTAGTGGCAAAAATTAAGATGATATTAGCTTAAATTAAGATGATATTAACTTAAGGTGATTACCTATGTAATCAAAGCAAAGCCCAAAACAGCTTTGCTTTGATTACATAGGTAATATTTTTAAAATAATCTGTTGTAACAGAGAGAGGAATGAGAACATAGAGAACAAGTGTACTTCAGAGGGTGAAACCTTTTCTGAGTTGTATGTATTTGTGTTGAACTCCTAAATTTCACTTGTATAGTGTAAATATACTAAGGTGCATTTTTCCACC